TATTTACATGAATTTAAAAGCTTCTGTCCACTTCTTGAATATACAGTATAATAAGTAAACAAACGCATTAGAATCTTTACAGTAGTAACGTGTCATTTAGTGTGGGCATATTGTGTGTAGTTTTAATGTCAGCTGAGATACTGCAAAATAATTACTTCAACCATTGAAAAATGACCGAAAATTTAACCTAGTGAGTGAATGTGGCAGCAAATCATGCGTAGTGGTCTGAGGTAGCTCCTCTGAGTGCTCTCCTTGCCATTAATGCACATGCACAAAATCTTTAGACCACTGTATACTTGGTCTGAGAGCTCCCCAGTTAGGCTAGCTTCACCAAACTCAGACTGGGGAAACTCCTTAACCACGACACCAGGTGACATATTCTACTGGAAAAGTGGGAAAGAACTCCATGCAGGAAAAACAGGTTTAAGATTCGTTTTATACACTAGCCAGTATCTCCTAGGACACGCTATCTATTTATAATCTTACCTTATATACGCCCTCAACTAACCTCCAACCCTCGTGGAAAATTATTATTTCTATGAAAATCGCATCAATTTTTTTTCGGAAAAAAAAATCTGCCATGTGGAGGGCCAGACAAGATAGTAGAAATAGAGAAACCAAAGTTTGGTAAAAGTAAGTACGGGAGAGGACGTGAAGTGGAAGGCAAGTGGGTGTTCAGGGCACTTGAAAGAGGCTCGGAGAAGGAATGTCGGCACCCTTCTACCCTTAATCCAACGCTACATTCTCCCGGGCACGACCATTTATTCCGTGCCTATTCTGGACTGCAGAAGTTAGGGTACAGGCACGCAACTGTGAACTACAGTGAACGTTTCGTGAGTGAGTGTTGTGCACACTCAAAACATCGAGCGTTCTTGGCGCGACTCCAAATCTTGGTTGTTATACTCTGGCAACAAGGTGCACATGTACCAAAAGTACCTGGCGAGGTACTTATTCGTCAGAACGTACCCGAAGAACGAGAGGCTCCACCACTTTCTAAATGCTGGTCGCCTGTATCGACACCCAAATTCTGCAGTCTACGGTATGTAAAACTACAGGTTCAACTATAGTAAGGTTAGGAAAGATAAGGTTAAGTTAAGTTAGGTGAGGTAACGTAAGGTTAGGTTAGGTTAGGTTAGGTAAACATTTTTCTGGTGTGTTTTATGTGCTTTCTGCCAGTTTTGTCTCCATGGGAAAACAAGTATTTGGGGGGGGATTATCGAGACTGTAATTTTCTTCAAAACTATTAGTTTCCCAAGGACACAAAAGCCATTTTTAAAGAAAGCACTTAAATATACATCAGAGAAATATGCTTTAATTAAAGATAGCGTTGGTGCATAAAACGAATCTTTACCGAAAAACACAAGCAGCTCAAAGGTGAACATTTAATATTGTGTTGGTATTATTACCCCAAATTTACATGAATACCAGATTGGTGGACTGGCTGAAACTATGGCACCACACAATTTTTTTTTTGTGGGGCAGAATATGCGCTATGACTAGGGGTTTTATTTTTTTATCTTTCGATCACTAATTTGCACTATAATATTTGGTACTATTGCTTTTAATGGCCCCACAACTTTTGTTTTTTTCTTAATATACCCGTCATGTAGTTTAGGCAATTTTAAAACTTTTCTTCTATGAGATTTTTGTCGGATTATTTTAACCGATAAAATTACCAATAATATTATTTGTTTAAAGTGGGTAGGGCTTTGAAGTAGAGGGAAAATGTGGGGTAAAATACTAAAAATAGCACCAAACAAACCTTTGAAAACCTGACCTAACGTTTACTAATTTGCAAAAATCTTAAAACTTTAAAACGTTTAGCTTGTTCATATTTTCGGTGTTTAGTAGGTGTTGTTTTCGGTGTTCAAATGAGGATGGATTCATCAACTCGAAAGTGATTCTTAACATGTCCAAAGGAGGTCCATCAAAATGGTGCCTGCTCTACGGAACCTCACTTACCCAGAGAGATTGGAGCGCCTGCAACTACCAAGCTTATACTACAGACGGGCGAGGGGCGACCTAATCAAAGTGTATAAAAATTTGGGCACTACTCGGTCGAATGTACACTCGGAAACCATAATCTCTAGCCCACCTGCGTCGGTGCTGGAGGTTAGAAAAGTGTCCTTTCTGGACGGGGGCCCACTCTAACTATCACGAGGCAACACATGCACGAACACACACAGTGATAGTACGGCTGTATAGATGATACTATGTATAAATATTGTATATGGCATTTTATACTCTGCATTATCTTCATTATATATGAACACGAAGAAAAAATACCATAGGTTGTAGTTGCGAAAGTATGAATGGAAATAAGCACTTCCAAACCACCCAGTGAATCCACACAAGTTTACAGCGCTTGTGGCCAGACCACGATGATTCCACCACACCCCATCTATATCTTTTATTTCCCATCATTCGCGTAACTATATGAAAAATCGTGTTTAATTTAACTACATATTTCAAAAACCTTAAATTACATGTGGATCAGTCACTCCTCATTTGACACACTTGTAGTGTAACTTTGACCATCCCACCTGGGCACATGGAGGCCCACTGTAACTCTCACGGGGCAACATACGCACGAACACACAAGTTATGATATGAACACTTCCAGGCTTCACTATCATTATCATGTTAAGTTCATCGTGCTCTGTATCTTGGTAACTAGTCATAGTATCAATACATGACTGTGTTATTAGTATAATATTGTAACTTTTACCCTACAGTTATTGTTGTAAATCATGGACAGGAAGGATACATGAATTGTAATATCAAGTGTATGGTTCGCACAAAGCCACCCCAAGTCAGACAACGCATCATGCAAAGTTACACTGTGTGTGTGTGTGTGTGTGTGTGTTCTGTAATATTAAGCTTCATCCTTAGTAGGTAAGATGTTTCATAAAGAGGTTTCTCCCATTCGTCATTTTGAGTATCGTCCCAGAGCACATTGTTTCCATCAAAACCATGGTTCATCCTTATTTCCCTTCTTTCGTGTAACTATATCCTTATGACAAAGTGCTTGTCTTTTCATTTCTTTATTTACCAAAATGATGTGGATCAGTTACTCGTTATTTAAGACATACATGCACTTAGAGCATCAAGATTGTTTTGTAGGCATGACTATTGGTTAATTGAAACCCCAAAAATATTTTTCACATTTATTATGCATAAACATTGTTAACATATTTATGTGATTATTGTATTATATAACATATATTTAATGTCTGGACAGATTCCCAAGAGTTATGCATATTAATGCATAGATTTTGTAAGCATATTTATGCGAAGTGACGTAAAATCACATAGTAAAATACCTGGACAAATTCCCTAGAGTTAGGAAACGAAGTCTATGTGGCCCCAACGAGGTTACACCAGAGAGCTAACTCCCCCGCCACCCCCTACAAGGCACCGTCGTGGGCGGGGATTTAATTCTTGACCACAGGTTAATACCGTGTCCAACCTCTATCTGCTGCTATAACTTCATGCAATGTGGTGGGCATGGAATCTACCAGATTGCTGCAGATGTTCGGCATCCTCCTTATTCCTCCCCCACACATTATGTGCGTGTCTCCTCACTGCCTCACTCGTTTTCTCCTCAACATCCCATACAACAACCATATGCGCCCATAGATTTTCTATTGGATCTCAATCGGCTCCTTTAGGGGGCCAGTCCAATAGAATAATCTACGAGTGCTCCTCAAACCAACGGTTGACTGCCTGACTTGTATGTATTGGACTGCGGTCTTGCACCATACATATAGGCTGTGGGTCTGGGATGGCATATGAGTTGCTGGGAGGATGGTTAGCAGTCCTGTTGAACTGGCAGGTAGACAAAATAGAAAACTCACAGCCAAACTGTAAGAAAACCCATGGACAATGAGACTTTAGTAAAATATACTAGGTCATTTTAGCGCGTGCACACACATTATATACAGACCTATTGGTCCTTGCGAGGCTGTTTGGTTATGCTATGCTAACTAGTTTGCTAGGGTGAGGGAAAGTATATATATATATATATATATATATATATATATATATTTAACTCTTCTCAACAAATGCAAGGATGTTGCCCCGTGAGAGTTACCGTGGGCCTCCATGTGCCCAGGTGGGATGGTCAAAGTATTACACTATAAGTGTGTCAAATGAGGAGTGACTGATCCACATATAATTTAAGGTTTTTGAAATATGTAGTTAAATTAAACACGATTTTTCATATAGTTACGCAAATGATGGGAAATAACAGATATAGATGGAGTGTGGTGGAATCATCGTGGTCCGGCCATAAGCGCTGTAAACTTGTGTGGATTCACTGGGTGGTTTGGAAGTGTTTATTTCCATTCATACTTTCGTAACTACAACGTATGGTTATTTTTTTTCGTGTTCATATATAATGAAGATAATGCAGAGTATAAAATGCCATATACAATATTTATACATAATATCATCTATACAGCCGTACTATGACTGTGTGTGTTCGTGCGTGTGTTGCCTCGTGATAGTTAGAGTGGGTCCCCGATAAGAAAGGACACTGTACTAACCTCCAGCACCGACCCAGGTGGGCTAGAGAATATGGTTTCCGAGTGTACATATCTGGAGCTGGCTTACGTCCGCCCCACAAGGGATCATGGCAAGGTTGAAGTATCCTCAAGTCCAGAGAACTGTGAGGGCAAACTTTTTCGGAGTGAGAATTGTGAACTCGTGGAACAATCTGCCAGATTGTGTTGTGAGGGCACTGAGTATGAGCTCATTCAAGGCCAGACTTGACCAACACGGGAGCAGGTTCCGATATATTTAGGAGCCAGTGCATGCCCAGTATTTGTCAATAGTGCGTATGAGAGACGTGACCGACAAAGCGGCTAACGAGCCGATAAGTGGCGAATAGGATAAAAGTAAAAAGTAAAAGTAACCTGCTAATAAACTGGTGGATAAAGTTGTAACCTGTTACTGTTTGTGTTAAGTATTGAGTGCCTGTGGAAGTTGAGAGTAGTTACCTGCTCCTGCCTTTTATAGGTGGGGGTGATTACGTAGATGGTAGGCAGGTCATCCACTTGGGAGACTCTCATCATTTCGAGTTCTTCCTTAACTGTCGGAGATTGTGGCTCTGCTGAGGGGCAGGGTTGGGAGATAAGAATAGCTATATAACTATTAATGTCGTTGAAGCGGTTACACATTGTTATTATTATTGTTATATAATGATCATTATTATTATTATTATTATTATATTATAATTATTATTATTATTATTATTATTATCATTATTATTATTATTATTATTATTATTATTATTATTATTATTATTATTATTATTATTATTATTATTATTATTATTATTATTATTATTATTATTATTATTATTATCATCACACTCGTCAACAAATTTCAACTTTTCATTGGGTCCAGAAATAAAATTAGTTGTATTTAGTAGATTTAAATATGTTGAGTATGAATCAAAACTTAGTTTTACTATATCGCGTCTATTTAAAAACAAAAATGAAAACAATGTCTTACACAATAATTATTGTACTGTATTTGTGTATGCCGCTGCAGCAGAACTAAACGAATCTGAGTTCCCCAAGAATCTCTTTCCTTCAGTTTAGCGTCACAAAATATTTGGGAATTCAAATAGTGTGTATGCCATTGAAGTTCAGTAAAATTGATGAATTTAAGGACCACAACCATATTCTCATAGGACTCTTTTTAAATGAACTGAATGAATCATTGTTCATTAATATACTTTCAAACTGGTCCTAGGCTAGATCAGCAGGGGATCTTGGAGTAGCAGTGGGCCCAAGAGGGACGGCACATAGGCCCACTGGCATGTGGACACGTTCTGGCGCCTACAAACCACCGCCCCGCTGCCTTGTGGATTAACCTTGGCAGGTATAAGGCTACGGGAGTAAACCACTAACGAAAAATCTGCAGACATGCTTACAGAGCCCCAACAAGACCCCAACGGCAGTGTAGGCGGAAGAGGTGACCACCATGGAAACCCAACGACTACACCGGCGGACGAAGGCAATGCCTGATGGACAGGCTACAAAGGCGAAACCCAACAAACTGGGCTATCGGCAGTCCATTGCGGCTCTCCCTATCCCCAGTTTTTGCATCACTTGTACCATTGGATCCGGAAAAGGGAGAGCCAAGATGTGTGGTTGCAGCCTGCGCTCCTGCCTCACCACATAAATCAACTCAAACTCATCATACCTCTCATCATCATCAAAACCCCCTATACCGCCCAGAAGTCCAATGGCGACGGACGAGTGGCGACGGGGACAGGCAGAGTTGACTGCCAGGAGTCTCCAGTCACAACCCTGCACATGGGCGGCACAGATAAGATGGTCGTTTATGCACTGGGATCTAGGCAGCAGTGCAATCCGGTCCTGTCTGTGCGACTGAGCAGCCCTTTTGAGGAGCCACTCTACTCTGCTAGAAAAGGTGCCCTAAATATAGTTTGCCGAAAAGCCCAACCTGACTGGGCAACTGTACCCAGTAAGGTCACCCTTATGCAGTTGAAAATACAACCTAAATCACAGATCCAAACAAAAACAAACCATACAACCTCTTATGGTCGCTGCATGGAATGTCATGACCCTTCTGGATACTGGCACAAATGCTCATCCTGAAAGAAGAAACGCCCTTGTGACAAAGGAGCTGACTAGGTATAACATCGACATAGCAGCCACCAGTGAGTCCCGGCTCCTAGATGAGGGCCAACTCACAGAAGAAGGGTCTGGCTACACCTTCTGGAAGGGTATAAGCCTGCTGCAGAGAGAAACCGCATTTATAGAGTTGGCTTTGCCATCCGCCAATGCATCCTACACAGGCTAACTGAAATGCCTAATGGGATCAACGAGCGCCTCATGACGCTTCGAGTCCCACTGAATCACTCACGTCATGTCTTCTTCATCAGTGCATACGCCCCAACACTGGATGCAGAGCATGACATCAAGGTGGCCTTTTACGCCGTCCTCGATAGGGTGCTAACGTCTATCCACAGAGAAGACAAAGTTGTGCTCCTTGGCGACTTCAATGCCAGAGTTGGCAGAGATGCTAACATTTGGCAGGGAACCATAAGGAGAAATGGACTAGGCAAGTGTAATCCGAACAGCTTACCCCTCCTCAGCAAGTGTGCTGCACACAACATCACTATCAATAACACCTAATTTAGGCAGGCCGACAAGTTCAAGGGTTTGTGGCAAAACCCACTATCCAAACATTGGCATCTCATTGACTAGATTATTGTCAGAGAAAGAGATCGCTGTGATGTCCTCATCACCCGTGCCATGAGTGGCTCAGACCACTGTGACACTGATCATCGACTTGTCAGAGCTAAACTCTCACTTCATGTCGCCCCAAAACGGCGATGACAGCGAGCCTCAAAAATAGGTTTTAATACTAAGCGTCTGGAGGATACAGCGATAGCACATGCTTTCAGAGAGCAGCTCGAACATGGGCTTATAAATAACCTATTAGCAAACAACGTGAATCCCTTTGCCGAATGGGATTCTCTTAATACTGTTATGACAAAAACCCGCAGAGAGACCCTCGGCCAGATCAAAAGAATACACCAGGGCTGGTTTGATGAAAATGACCCGGCAATCAAAGTACTCATCGTTGATAAACGTGCTGCTTTTACTGACTGACAGAGCAACCCTCAGTCTCAGACCAAAGCTGATACCTTCCGCAAGAAGAAAGCGGCAGCCTAGCGGGAACTATGCAATCTAAAGAACGACTGACTTAAAAATAAAGCACGTGAAGCACAAAAACTTGCAGATCACCACAAGATGTGCAAATTTTTCATTTCTACTAAAACATTTTATGGGCCAGTCACTCGTAGCGCAGCCCCCTCCGCTCATCTGATGGTAACCTCATAATTAAAGATGTTGAAGGCCACCATCAACGCTGGAAAGAGCACTACCATTCAACCGAAACACCGATGTGGATGTCGTGACTACCCAGCAGGTCCTTCAGCATCTAGAGCTGACCCACCTCAGCTATCCTTCATCCCTGGAGGAGGTAGCTACTGCCATCAAACAGATGAAAAATAACCAAAGCCTCAGGGCCTGATGGAATCCCAGCCGAGGTGTATAAAGCTTACCAGGCATCTCCACTCTCTCCTGGAGAATATATGGGAAAAGGAGGAAATAACCCAAGCTCTTAAAGACGCCTCCATTGTCAATCTATATATAAACAAGGGAGACCCGTCAGACTGTGGCAACTACCGTGGGATCTTGCTGGTCTCCGTAGCTGGCAAGATTATCGCCTGAGTCCTCCAAAACAGACTTCTTCCTGGGGCAGAAAACGTCCTCCCAGAATCTCAATGTGGTTTTAGACCATCACGTGGCACCACTGACATGATCTTTGCTGCCCGCCAGATACAGGAAAAGTGCAGAGAACAGCGTCGTGACCTGCACATGGCTTTCATCGACCTAACCAAGGCCTTCGACTCGGTCAGCAGGGAAGCCCTCTGGTGGACCCTCAGCCGTTTTGGCTGCCCACCAAAATTCATTGCCAATGTGAGGCAACTCCACGAAGGCATGATCGGCAGTGTCCTGCACAACGGCACCCAGTCAGAGTTCTTCCCCATCCAAACAGAGGTTAAACAAAGGCGTGTACTGGCACCAACTCTCTCTTCCATCTTCTTGGCTGCCTTCCTTACTTGTGCCAGTGCCAATTTAGCCAGCGGGGTGAACATCGAGTACCGGGTGATAGGGGGGTCTTTTCTACATAAGACGGCTCCAGGCAAGAACAAAGGTGTCGGTTGCTTCCATTACTGAACTTCAGTATGCAGACGACCTCACCCTTGTTGCTCACACTGAACATGACCTACAGGAGATCCTGAACACCTACGCGAACGCGTATGCACACTTCGGCCTTTAGGTGAATGTACGTAAGACTAAGGTTCTCTTTCAACCTGCCCCTGTTTCAGACACACCTCCACCATCAATCCAGCTTAATGGTACTACACTCTCTAATGTTGCCCACTTTCGGTATCTCGGCTCCCATCTGTCCACCACCACAGACATCGATGAAGAGATTCAGCATCGGACCAGATGTGCATCTCAAGCCTTTGGCAGACTCCGAAATCTAGTCTTCAGCTGTAGGGAGCTGAAATTATCTACAAAGCTGCACGCATATCGAGCAGTGGTCCTGTGCTATATGGCAGTGAGACATGGGTCACATACAGGAGGCACCCCAAGGCACTTGAAAACTTTCACCAACGTAGTCCACGTTCCATCCTCCGAGTTTGCTGGAAGACAAGAGAACAATTGCCAGTATTCTTGCTGACACCAACTGTAGGAGCATTGAGGCTACCATTATCCATGAACAACTACTTTTGACTGGCCATGTTACCCACATGGACAACAATAGACTGCCAAAGCAGCTACGTTACAGTCACCTAACGAATAGTAAACGTAATGCTGGCGGGCAATTGAAAAGGTATATGGATAAACTTAAAACAAACCTGAAAAGTGCCAAATCGACCCCTTCACCCGGGAGTCGATTACTCCCCTTCACCCGGGAGTCGATTACTCCACATCGTAATGCTTGGAGGAGCACCACACGAGAAGGTGTCAATACTTTTAAGTTAGCCCGACTACAAACCGAGGCAGACAAGCGCCAACGCCGGAAAGACGCTGCCACAGTTCCTCTCGCAGTAGATGGAGCCCTCCACATGTGCAACGAAAGTGAACGACGCTGCGGGTCCCGTATTGGTCTTTTTAGTCTCCTCAAAACTTACCAACCTAGGTGACATCCCTGATAACTCATATCGTTGTATCATACCTGGATGATCGTCATACTCGATTCTGAGTGACAGCAAAGTACTGTATAGTATCTTACCCCTCAGGCTGCCGGACGAATGTGTACATTGCTGTTGTTCAAGGTCTAGTGGGTCGAGGGATGGCTTGTAGATGAGGTAAAACAACAATAGCAGACTTCCACACACCATCACCTGCTGTAGTGACCATCTCCTGTAACACCACCAACCAGATTATATGTAAATGTTCCAATACCAATTTCAGTGGTCTAATGCAAGTTTTAAGTTGTCTAAAGAGTTATTAGTTCTCTAATGAAAGTTTTAAGTTGTTTAAAGAGTTATTATTTTTCTAATGCAAGTTTTAAGTGGTCTAATGAAAGTTTTTACCGGTAGTACTCTAATGCAAGTTTTAAGTGGTCTAATGAAAGGTTTTTACCGGTAGTACTCTAATGCAAGTTTTAAGTGGTCCACTGAAAGTTTTTACCGGTAGTACTCTAATGCAAGTTTTAAGTGGTCTAATGAGAGTTATTGGTTTTTAATGCAAGTTTTAAATGGTTTAATCAAAGTTATTACCGGTAGTACTCTAATGCAAGCTGTAAGTGGTCTACTGCAAGTTTTAAGTGGCCTAACTCACGTTTTAAGTGGGTTAATGCAAGTTAACAATTCCCTTACATATGTACCATATATACTGTACATGTAGAGAATAGCAGCAGGTATTTATATATTCTCCTGGCCACGTACCGAAAAGACCCAACTGGTGTAAAGTTGAAGCGAGCATCACGCTGTTACTGAAGAACCCAAGTGACTTTATTCCCCTAAGTTGGCAAATAATAATTATATTTTAGTGCAAATGTGTGCAAATGTGTTACTTAGAGAAATTATCCCTAGTTATCTGAAGTTGGATGTCAATAACCTTCTGACTCTATATAGATTGTTTTTATTTAATAATGTGGTGTTTTCAAACAGTAACAAATAAAGCGCAATGGGCATAATGTGTTTGTTATATTCTCCCCAGCCGCTTGGCGACGCCACCGTCGCAGAAAGTAAAAAAATAACATTAAGTGGGTTATCCATATATAGCGTCAGAACCCTTGCTTAAATCAATCTGGCAAGACCAAATAATTCTGTAATTTAATAAAAGTGGGAGAGAACAAGTACAGGCAACGACGTAACCCCCAGGGAATGAATGGTATTGTGTTAGGCTCCCTTCAGACGAGCGTGTTTTCAGGCTGCATAGTTTAAAAATACAGAGTTCAATGGGACCCTTCACACGAGCGTGAGCGGGAAAAGTTCTCGTTACATGCGCCGTCACAGGCTGCGGCTGACAGCACGCCTGTACTACCAACCCGCAACGTGAAAAAATGAGCGAGTGAACGGCTGACAAAATTACATATGCCCGACCGAGTGGGTGAAAACACGCTCGTGTGAAGGAAGCCTTAATGTATTGCTACCTTGTAGAAAACTCTGCGCAGCTGCGAACACACTTAAGCTAGTTTTATAAATACACACCGGTGGTTTATATTAGTGATGTCAATGGTGATGTCGTATAAGAGTCATACATTCTTTTAATTTTGTTCATGCATCTGCTGAAGCAATTGCCAGACCGATTGTGGATTTTCATTTTATTGAAAGTATGTACATGAGGCCTACCCCCCCGTTATGAGCAATGCAGATACAGCTTACTGTGCAGCATACTGAGCAGAAAAAGTTGGGCTGGGCGTTGAATGTGTCGTTGTCAGGTGGGTATACAGTATATTTTATTACCGAGTCTCGTGTTAATGGTGTTTTCTATCGAAGGTTTATCTTAGATTAAAAGATGGCATTTATAGAGCTACAGCTGTACCTCAAAATATTACAGTATTCATCTTCAGGCCATCACCAGTCTTTTATATTACTGTATATAGGTGCTTATAACTGCTTTGAGCTCATATAAGAATATTTGACTGTTGCCACAGTCCCAGAACTGCTGTCAATTTATCCTTGCTCGAGTATTCATGTGAGTACAATTTTACTACCAACGGCGACAGACACAACTACCCAGATCTATCTCACTTAACCAAACCAGACCTAAGGCTGTTGTTCTGGCAAGGTTTTACTAACTAAGGCTGAGTTTACTTAAGACTGATACGTATTCTTCATCGTCAAGTGTGAATTATTGCACACACGTACTTAACTGTTGGTAGTGCTGTGGTACCGAGCGTGTCTCTCGCGATTGTGTTCTGGGTTCATTCCTGACCTGGGCAGATATAAGTAGGGTTTTACCCAGTTTGACCCTGCCAAACGTCGCAGGGTTTTTTCAGTTAGGCAACAGGCTGCGATGTAGATGTTCTACCCAATCAACCAATTCCCTGGTACGCCAGGTTACTCCTGTAACAGTACACTAAACAACAAAGGTCATAACAAGGTAACGAGGAACAGACCAATCCGCCGAACAGCTACCTAGTGAGCTGATATGTAGTGAAATAATAAGTAGAAATGTCAAGTATTTCTCCAATCTCATCATCACCGTTTCATGACCATTATTCACACTTGTGTGGGTTAACGATGATTCCCTTATGCCGTCATATAGTGGTTACCATCAGGCAAATTTGTAATGAGGTTTACTGCTGGCTTCCTTTCCTATCGCCAACCCACTATTACAGAGTGGAAACTGGGCGTTATATTTGTAGAGTCAGCAAAGAAAGTACATTATCTCTACCCCTGCCATCTGCAACATTCTGAAACATTGGACAAACTTAAAACTTTTTCCTGTGCTTGTAGTTGTGTATTGGTAGGCCTGCTGCTGTTCTTGTATGGCTGTGTTAGTATAAATCACATTTCATGATAATTCTATATTTATTTCATCCGTTTGTATGTTACGGTACCTTGGTCGTGTGTAGAATATAAACTATTCTTTAATACATGTAAATACATTATGGGTTGCAGTATTTCATTAGATATATATAAAGGAAAACTACTTGCCGGTGCATATGGAAAGTTAACACACTCGTCTTTCATAACACAAACCTTTCGTTATAGTTCAGCAAAATCATGGTATTATCTATCTATCTCCATCTGCCTGCCTGTCTGCCTATATCTATCTATCTATCTATCTATCTAGCTATCTATCTTGACTCTTAATTTAAGAAACAAGTTTTCTTCTATACAGTAGATGGTTTGTGTAAGGTGGCTATTAAATTACATATATAAAAAATTAAAGTTAAATACAAATAAATCGCTGTATGTTTGCGCGATCCATGTATATGCTGATAATTAACCACATAGGAAAAAAGAAAACAGGAAGTCTCTTGCTGACCAGCAGCCGTTTCTTCTGTAGAATATATGGGAACAGAGGAAATCCCCCAAGATCTCAACTTTTACTTTTACTTACTTTTATCTTCTTCACCACTGATCGGCTCGTTAGCCGCTTGGGCGATCGGTCACGTCTCTGATTACTTTTCCTTTTCTTTTATCCTCTTCACCAAAAGATCGGCTCGTTAGCCGCTTGGGCGATCGGTCACGTCTCTGTTACGCATTGTTGGCAAGTGCTGGGCATGCACCGGCTCCTGAATGTACCTGAACCCGCTCCAGTGTTGGTCAAATCTTGTCTTGAAAGAGCTCACACTCGGTGCCGTCACAACACTTTCTGGTAGATTGTTCCAAGAGTTCACAACTCTCACTCCGAAAAAGTTTGCCCTCACAGTTTTCTGGACTTGCGGCTTCTTCAATCTTGAGCTGTGACCCCTTGTGGGGCGAGCGTCTGCCAGCTCCAAGTAAGGACATCTCGACTGAGTAGTGCGCCTTGAGATTCTTATACACCTCTATTAGGTCACTCCTTGCCCGTCTGTAGTATAAGCAAGGCAAGTTCAAGCACCACCATCAATTATCATCTCCAGGAAAATTAGAAAGGAGACGAATCAGATTATTTCAACTACCGCGGGATGTCGCTGCTGTCCACAGTTGGTAAGTTTCTCGCCCAAGTCCTCTTTAACAACATTTGGATTGTTAATAAAACCTGAGTTTAAAATTCATGAAGTCGGTGAAACTGTGTCTATTGTATTTTACAAATATTTTTGGTGATATACTATAATTATTTTAATAGTACAGATATCAACCAGGTGTCATCTATCTTTTTGTAAATGTCGTAAAGAACATTTAATTATCTTATTTAGGTACAGCATGGCGACAAAACACCTTAATCGATCTCCACCACCCTCAATTTTTTTGTGGTTACCCACGTAATACAGTATATATATATGACGCTTCGTTTATGGCATTGCTCAGTTCATAAACTGGGCAGTCATTTGATCCAGTTCGTGAAATGGGTTCCTAACCTAACTTAAACCAAGCGGTCCTAACCTAACCCGACCCAACCTAATCTATCCTCGCCTAACCTACAGTAACCTAACATAGGTTAGCAAAGTTAGGTTGGGTTGGTTTGATTTTGCTTAATTTGGGAACCCATTTCACGGAATGGACAAAATGACTGCCCATTTTATGAACTGGGCAATTCCATAAAAGGGGCAAATCATATACAGGTACACTATGATTTAAATTAAAATTCGAGTGCAAAATTTGTAACATATACTAACACGTTCTTAATATGCCACATCAGTTTCAGTGTTACACTTCAACTTCATGTGACGGTTTCCGAACATCGTGAAAATAATGCTGTACGTGTACGTATGCACCGGTAAATATCTGATTTACTATATGGCTTGTCTTGCATCAGATAATATTGCAAATGAATTTTGCGCGAGTATGACATTTCTTTGTAGTGTTTACCTTTGGCGTTATCGATGTAATTTCAAAAGTAAAGTGATAAAGATATAATTCATCTATGTTTGGTTGATATTCCGGGCCGGATTAAGCCCTGCTAGGGCCATGGCCAAAGAATATATTCACGCCAGTCTCAACATGAGTGCCACCCCTGGCCCCGGAGCGCAGATTGTCTCGTCTTTTTGGCTTAGAGTTGTAGGAGTTATATTAATGAATAATGTTCTTTTTATTTTTCACACGTACACCGTCACAGCTGCCTCACACACCCTCACACACATACATCGTCACAGCTGCCTCACACACCCTCACACACATACACCGTCACAGCTGCCTCACACACCCTCACACACATACACCATCACAGCTGCCTCACTACTATTACTTGTCTGTCACTCGGGATCGCGTATGATGATCATCCAGCTATGGTAAAATTATAGGAGTTATTAAGGATGTCACCTTCGTTGGTGAGCTCTGAGGTGACTAGAGAAGCCGATACGGGACCGGCAGAGTCGTCCACAAATGTTGCACATGTGGAGGGCTACATCTATAGTGCCGAAGGGGCTGCGGCAGCGTCTTTCCGGTGCTGGCGCTTGTCTGCCTCGGTATGCAGTCGGGCTAACTCGAAAGTATTGAGACTTTCTGTGTGGTGTTTCTCCAAGCGTTACTGTGTGGAGTGATCGTCTCCCAGGTGAGGGGGGGTCGATTTTGCACTTTTTCAGGTTTGTCTTAAGACTTTCCTTATACCTTTTCAGTTGCCAGCCAGCGTTACGTTTACTATTAGTTAGGTCGACGATACTTGTGTGGATAAGAAAGACAGTGATCATAGTGTTGGATTTATATATTTTCAGCACGTTCATTATCCCTGCGATGGATTGTAGGAAGAAGAGTGGCTGATTATATTCTCTTTCGGTAGGTCATGCTGTGCTTATATTTAGGCCTAAAATATCCAGATTGGACAGTCATAATTTTGAGAATCTGTTATAGATTAATCTCAATAGAAAGATTTGCAAATAAATGTGTAATAATGTCTTTTATTTTTATCTTTAGTTAACAAGTATTTTATAATTTACTGTGGATTTATTTTAATATTTGAGACAATTAATAATTCTGTTGTTACTTTTTACTTTCAGCACTTGAGTACTGTGCTTTATGAATGAAATTCTTTTTTACTTCTACTCGAGTAACGTTTTGCCACTGTAACAGTACTTTTATTTAAGTTACGAATTCCGGTACTTTTTTCAACTGACTATCTCCTATCCGTTCACCCGTGCAGAGCCGGATAACTTGATATTTCTAAACCTTGAGAGAAGTCATTCAGGAAGTCAGCCAGAAAATTTCTTTGTTCCGTTTATACATATTCATGTCGCACTTGATACTGCACACTTTGTATCCCAGTGATAAACACGGTATGTAGACCTCCACACCCTACTTAGTAAACGAAGAATGATTGCCAACTTACATGACAAAGCCGTCCCGGAAGAACTGACCGCAAGCACTTGGCACTTTGACTCTTGAGCTGGACATATCTAGTGCATTCACCCTCATGCGGCGGGATCGGTCGACACACTAATGAGGCACAGCTGTGACGGCTCAGCACCGTCTGGCACGTTATGCGCACAGCTTCCCTGTCCACCAAACAGATGACGGGTCACACTGCACACACCTCGCCCAGAACCGTAGGTTGGTAAGTAGCAGGCAGCTGTCAAACAGGGAGGTACTACCGCCTGGGAAGATATTGGAAGCATAATGTGTTGTCTAATGGTAGACCCTGCTGCCATATGGCATCACGAATATTGTGACCACGTCCCAGGTTGCTGATATGTTTTTCTGCCTCCCACACAATTGCAGGGTTCTGGACCCCAGGGCCGACCTGATCATCATCAAACTACTGGGGCCTCAACTGACGCCACCGTGATTGCTGGAGGATCGTTTTTTTTCACACTTCATTTTTCCAACATTCGCTGCCTGAGATCCAATTTTTCTACCGTGGAGCACCATCTATTAACCTCTTCCCCCAATCTCTTACTACTATCTGAACTTCAACTGACCAAAGCAGCCTCACCCAAACCTTTTCAAGTCTCCAACTACAACCGTTATACCATTTTCCGTTCTAAGGGATGTGTATGTGCCTACTGCAACACGTGTACACCTATAGCTCGACACTCGGATTTTGAATCTTCTCTTTATGATGTCATCTGGCTCAAAAATATCTCTACCAACTATGACCATTTTTCTTTGTTTCATATACTGTTCTCCCAACTCTACCAACTATTTGGAACTCTTTAGCTATTTCACTTCTTGCCATGAGTCGTTGCTATCCACACACCCCAACACCGAGATCCACTACCTAGGAGATTTCAATGTACATCACAGAGAATGGCTTCAAGGGATGACCCAGGTGGAGTTGAGTCACTCTCCTTTTCCTTACTTTATAATTTGGAACAATTAAACACCTTACACGTGTTCCAGATCGACACGACCAACTTACTAACATTCTTAATCTTTGTTTTACCTCTAACCCCTTACACTATTCATACTCAATTTTCCGCCCCCTTAGGGTCTTCTGATCACAATCTTATTTATATTAGATAAAACTGGGCACGACCACCTCCCCCACCCCCCTCTAAACGCCAACTATGGCACTATCGGAGGGCAAACTGGATATCCTTGCCAGCATTGCTGGGGTTAAACTGGGTAGTATGAGTCCATTTATCCCATCTTCTACCAAAACTTTCACTTTACAATCATGGTTTGATTGCTCCTGTTTTCTTGCATGTAAGGAGAGAGATAGAGCCTCTCAAGTTATGAAACTATCTCCTCCTTTTACCCACTCCTCTTTCATTACTTCTTAGAATCGTAGTAAGGCAATTCTTCGTAGGGCCAAGCGGAATTTTATAAAAAGAAAGACTGCTGTCCTGACTAACACTTCTTCTAGTAAATTCTTCTGGTCCTTAGCCAAAAACATCTATAATAACATCTGCTCTTCCTCTTTTCCTCCTCTCTTCCAACCTGATAACTCTATAGCCAACTCTCCCCTGATAAAGCCAATCTCTTTAGCACCTTATTCTCCTCTAACTCCACCTTAGACGATTCCAATTCTACCCCTCCTACTTCTGCTCCTCCTACTGAATCTATGCACTTTCCTATAATCTCCACTGGTGTGTATAATCGCGTTTGGATGTGAGTAAGGCGCATGGACCGGACGGAATAACCCCTCGTGTTCTGAGGGAGTGTGCTGAAATTCTGGCCTCTGTGCTTGCTCGCCTCTTTAGCCTTTGCCACAGAACCCAAACTTTTCCTTCTTCTTGGAAGCATTCCTCGGTTCAGCCCATCCCGAAGAAGGGTGACCATTCTAATCCCTCTAACTATCGCCCCATTGCCCTAGCTTCATCCCTGTCTAAGATTTTCGAAACAATCTTAGACTCATTTTCTCCGTCACCTTGAACGCCTTTTTTCTCTTTTGTCGGATCACCAGTATGGCTTTCGCCAGGCTAGTTCTACTGGTGATCTGCTCTCCTACGGCACCCACCTTTGGTCATCCTCTCTTAGGGATTATGGGGAACTTTTGTCGTGGCCCTCGACATCTCCAAAGCATTTGATAGGGGATGGCACAAGTCTTTGCTTTCTTAACGTCCCTCTTACGGTTTCTCTCCCCCACTTTGCTCTCTAATTTCTAGCTTCCTTGAGAAGCGATCCATGGCAGTTGTTGTCGAGGGATCTCTCGCTCTTTCTCTAACAATAGTGGTGTCCCACAGGGCTCTGTTTTTTCACCTACTCTCTTCCTTCTTTCTATCACTGATTTACTTCACACTTCGACTAATTCTATCCATTCTTACGCTGATGATTCTACTCTTTACTCTTCTTCATATTTTTCCCTTCTCCCTAATTCTGAAACTAGATCAGTTTCTAGAGCTGATATCGTTTCATCTGTCGATGTGGATCTGTGCAGCATCTCCGAATGAGGAGGTAGAAACTTGGTTCAATTCAATAGTAATAAAACACAGTATTTACGAATTACTCTTTCTAAAATAGAAGATCTCCCACGAATCACATTTCAGGACACAATCATTCTGTCAAATTCTAAAATAGATATGTTAGGCCTCACCATTTCATCTAATATGTCATGGAAGCCACATATCCTCAACATTGCTAAAGCTGCCTCCAGAAAGCTGGAAGTGCTGTACAGATGCCGAAGCTACTTCTCTCCTGACCAGTTGTTTCAAGTGTGTGTGTGTGTGTGCGCGTGCGCTAAGTACTTACGTTACATGTGTTTATTCTGGACAGAGGTGCCAGGTTAGGCATGTGTTGGTTGGACGTCAGGGGCGAATCCAGGAATATCAAAAAGGGGGGGGGGGTCCAAGAAGTTGTGGGTGGGGGAATATGGCAAGCACAGTGAACCCACCTAGTGTGGGTTTTTTTGGGGGGGGGGGACTGTAAGTCCCCTCCCCCCCCCCCAGAATTTTTGTTTATTCCTGACCAATATCAGGGGCATTTTGAGGCCATGTTGAAGCCATGCGCACTTGATATTAGAAGATATTCTGAAAACAATACTGCATTAAAGAAAAAGGACCCTCCCTGGATCCGCCCTTAAACCAGGTGCGGGGATGAGTTAGGCCAACGCTCAGAGAGAGCAGGGTATGCCGGGACAAGTTTGGAGAGCACCACAGCAGCAGTGACAGCCGACAGCGGTGAAGGAGGCTGTGGGTAGGTGGGGCTCACCGAGGGCACCATGAGCCTTTGTAGGTCTGTGATAACGGCAAGTAAGGATCCAAAGAGATGATCAACACGGCTCTCTAGTTTGTGAATGAGGACATTAACTGCTTCACCTCGCTGGGGGAGAGTTGGGGGGTAGCACTAGGCCTGGCGTCGTCAGAGTAAAGACAGGGAGGAGGCCCAGGAGTGTTATGGTGGAGTTGAGCTGGCGCCGGAGGTGGAGGATGACGTGCAGCAGCAAGTTTTTAGATTTTATTTATTTTATTGCCCCTGAGGGGGCTAGTTTATTGAGCACCCCCTTACATCCTGTGCAAGGTGAAGCGCAAAAGCGTTTACAGCGCCCATCTGGGAAGCATGCAGAGTTCATGCTTGCCTTCATGACTCATGCATTAAGGGCATAAAAGCCTGAAGGGTCATGGGTTTTGTCATCAAGTTACATAAAGTGACAGAATGATGAGTGTGTGTGGGGGGAAAATTCCCGTTACAATTTATCTGTTTATGGCAAAGCATGGCAGGTCCCTAATAATGTCAAGTCTTAGGCCATAGGCATTGACAATATTGAGGGACATACCTTTTGGTGTGATTGTGATGGCGTGTACGTCGGTAGTGTCGGCTTCAAGGGGGACGTCGAGAGGTTGGTAGGGGAAGTCCTTCTTGGCGTAGATACATAGTTCACTAGCATGTCCGCAGGGTGGTCAATTGATGTGGAGAACTTGAGTGGGTGAGCCCCAGGTACCGGCATGCCGGTGGGGGACGGGGAGCCAGGGGTGGTGTCCTCAGGTCCACGAGCAAGCGCAGCTAGTGGTGGGTAGACGGGGGCAGCGGGGCACACCGGGGCAGGCTTTGTCAGTGTTGCCAGCAGTGTTGCCAGGCAGTGGTGGAGTAAGCCATGAGCAAGAGGGGCACACAGGGGGCTACCATTCTTGTGTCAAACCAGAAGAGGGGGGTGACTGGGTAGCAGCTGGAGGCAGGGGTAGTCTGTATAGGTTGGAGATAGCTGTACAGAGTGTATCAAAGAGTCTTTCAATACGGTTGGTAAATTCGTGTAAGAGGGATATGATCTGTGTCGTGTCACCAGAGGGAGCACAAGGCCTGACAGCGTCAAAGTAGAAATGGGGAGGAGGCCCAGTAGTAGTTGAGTTAGGAGTCGGCTGGGACTGCTGTGTTGCAGCCAGGTGAAACCAAGCAGGGGCAGGTGTTGTTGAAGAAGGCGTTGCCAGAGGAGGGGAACCAGTGGGATGCAGCCTGGTAGGTAGGGGGGGGAGGTTGAGGTTGACGCAGTCTTCGGGGAGGCTTTTCTCCTGAGACAGGCGGACGTTTGGGGCACTGCCGTGAGTCAGCATTGTGCCAGCCACCACAATTACAACGCCTGGGATCATCAACATAGACCACACCACCCCCATTGAGGCGGTCTTCGAATTTCTGGGCACAGATGGAGGAGTGATGGTTATGTGAACAGAAGCGACATCTGGGACGATCACGTCGGCAGCAGGCGGTGAAGGTGTGACCCCAATGGGAGCAGATGACACAAAAAGCAGGCCCGGGGTGATACGGTTCTGCATACAATGAAGGGAGGACTGGGTGGGCCTCAACAGTGGTTGGGCGCTCCCTTCCCTTTCATTTAACTATGACAGCTGCCTGTGGGGTCTTCCCTCGGTAGTGTCGACGTATTCTGAGTATACGTGGATTAAAGTTACAAGCATCTTCGACTTCAGCGTATAGGGGGAATTGTTTAACTAGGATGTGGCAACATTCCGCTGCATCGGCAGGTGGAGGCACGAGGACAACCCCGTCAAATCCCACAGTACTTAGTGTTTCATAGACCTCAGGTGTCTGACACTTGATAAAGTTATGGTTCTTACCTTTTCGGAATTGAATGGTGAGACAGTGTTGTCTCCAATACTTAGTTGTCCAATTAAACCGTTCCTCGACGGTTTTCAGTGAGTCCTTGGGGTAGTGCAGATTCAGCTTACTTGGTTGGTTGGCAGAGGGGTGGGTGGCGAGGGGAAGCTTGCTGCCCTTGGCATTGGTATTGCCACTCCGGCAAGTGTTTCCCATAGAAACATTACTGTTACTGTCACTAAATGAGGTCTGACTCTTGCAGGGTGTGGGATGCACTATGACTATCCGTATCAGAAATGTCTGTATCCATGAGAGAGGGGGGACGCCTCTTCTGGGGCGTTTACGTCGACCCCGCCCTTCCCATCGCTGGCAACACTTGCCGGCGAAGGGGTAGGTAGAGACTGAGGTGGCCTTTGTGTGACGATCCGGAGGACAGGAGCACCTATGGGCACACATCTGTCTCCTTACGTGGTCAGACCGCGACTGCAGCAGCAAGTTGAGGCCATACTGGGGCAGGCGTGACCCGGGGCAGAGAGGGGTCAGCAGAACAGGGCTGCCCACATTTGTCTTGGAGGAAAAATGCATGTGTGAGTCTTAAGGTCATTATACTTACGAGGGAAGATTATCGTACGTACTGGGGAAAATTGTCATACATGCTGAGGAAGGTTATCTCACCTACAGGGGAGTTATCGCACGTACTGAGGTAAGTTATCGTAACTGCTGAGGTAGCCAAGTCATCGTACTTACTGGGAAGTTATTGATTATATCGTTAGCTCATCGTTCTGGCGGGTAAAAGTTATTTTACTTACTAGTGGAACTTCATCATACTGGGAAAGGTCACCATTCTCGCTGGGAAGTCATCGTACCTGATTGGTAATATCTTAGTTCCGTACAGGAAAAGTAATCATACTTTTAATTGTAAAGTTAACGTACTCTGGAGGGTAAAATGACAACATTGAGTTTTATCATCTCCTTTAAGGCCTAAAACACAATACATTGCAGAAGTCTCGTTGTTCATAAGTGTTAGGTGTTAGTATCGAGAGAAGTCATAGTAATGCTCAGACTAAGGGAGCCGGAGGCAGCACACAAGTATCAGGAACAGTAGCACTACCAGCAGCCCTCCTGTTTCGTGCCCTTGTACGTTATGTTTTGGTTGTTAAGGCCCAAACTCTCTGTAAAGGTAAAAATGAAAAATATAAAACAACCCTAAAAGTAAACACATAAACGAATATAAATACAAAAAATATTGAAACGTACGAACAAAGTACTACAAGTACAACTCAATAAATACAACAAATAAATACAGTAAGTGTACGCCAAGAACAGTGGTTAAAGAAACGGGTATAAACACAAGTCTACGATAAGTTAAGAGGATTAGGCAAGCAATATAATTGCGTTTTTTTTTGACTGAGCTAAAGTCTCCTCAATCTTACCTTGTAATTCAGTTATCAGTAGGAACATTAAATAATCTAGTTTCATTAAACATACCGAAAGTGACAACCTTGAATTTGATTAATGGCATGTATAAATTGGAGAATTAGATAACTTTGTCATTAAGATGATTTGCAACCAGGTAAAAGGTTAGGTACCTACTGAGTGACTTGAATATGGTTGACACCTGCTGTCCCTAGGGACTCGATCTCACTCTCCTTTACTGTTTATATTGGCCTTGTTATAACTACTTAGTCTGTACTTCACGCGGGCGTATATTACTCATAGGCATCCTAGATAACAAGCCGTAAACACCGTAGACATATAAATGGTTGTAAACAGTAAGATTAGACGCGTGGAGTGGTGACCTGCATAGTCAATAAGGCTGGTGAGTGTGTTCTCAGACATGGTGGGGTGGCGTGACATGAAGTGGATGCAGTAGTTGGTGATCCCCAGCACGTTCGTGTGACAGTCGTACTCCATCGTCGTGTTCTGGTGGAGGAGAGGAGGGGCTCAGATAACTTAACCTTCTTTAAATCAATTGTGAAACCCACATTACTAATAACAAGTGCAAATTTACTAATTTACTAACCCATTCTTTTTTGTTTATAGACATTATATACAATAATGTGGGGCGTCTTTTTATCTTGGGACACCCTGTATTAGTACCGGGGCTTACTGATATTAGCGACATGTACCAGTTGTCGGATGTTAGTGGTGGTTACTGTGCGTGTATTAGTGTGGTAAGTCCGAAGGTTAGGCCAGGTTAAGTTACGTTAACTTGCCTTAGCTTAGGTTGGCTTATGCTAGGGTAGGTTAGATTAGGTTAGGTTAGGATAGACCTTCGGACCATTGAACCATCGGAATATAAAGCCGTAACCATTAATATATACCTAGGCTTACAGTCAGTCTCAAGGGTGGAGTCGACAGACACTGTAACCTCAAAGTGTAGTGGTGGTTTCTGGGTAACAGCAGGACTAACAGCTTGTGGAGGGTTACCTTAAAAAAATTAAAAGCCAACTGTTTCTATTTTGACAAATAAGGCATCCCAAGACCCCGTCAGCCGAAGTTTGTGCGTTCTGTCTGTTTTCTAACTTACATGGAGGAGTCATCAGCCTACAGAACAAGATGAACGGGTGAGGTTAGATTAGATTTTTGTTTTGTTTAGATTAGGTCGAAAACATTATAATTTCAATAATGCAGGTTTTAAAACGCAGTAAATACAAAAAAAATGTATACACAGTGCCACCCCCCCCGCCCCCCAGATGTTCGTGGTGATTGTGTGAGTCACTGAATGCTTGTTTCATAACAGCAATAGTGACCTGACGTGTTGATGCGCAATGGCTCCCGCAAGTGAGGACAATGTTTGTGTTGTACTACGCCCATTTTCTGTGAATTTATAACGAAGAGTTACGAGGTTATAAGGGAGAGTGAGTGTGTGTGTGTGTGTGTGTGTGTGTAGTGTGGTCCGTGAGTGATGAAGATTTATTAGAAGTTAGTTTGTATGGAAATTGATTTAGGCGAATTGGGACAGATGGTTGAATTATAACACACACACACACACACACACACTATACTAACCTCGTCTATGTACATGATGGAGTAGTCGAGTTGAGGGGCGAAGGGGAACCGGAACTGCTGTTTGAACTGACCTGGTGTGCCTTTGTAGATCAGGTCAGCTGAGGTGAAAAGTTGAAAGTTCGTGTAAATTGAAACAGGTTTGAGACTAAATTAATAACTTACAAGAGGGACGTGGTTATTAATGCTAGACAGGACCTTACAGCCAGCCAGGTAAAAGTTCAGGGGGTGGGGAGTGGGGGGTGTCTCTTTGAAGAATCGAAGTGGTGTGAAATTAAACTGAAGGGAAGAGACTTAGCTCATTGTTGAATGTATCTACAGATCTCCGAATTGCAGCTTATTAAACCAAGGGAATTTAAGAGCCTTAACAGACAACGTAACGGTGCTTAACTCTAACCACTTCCTTGTCATGGGGGACTTCAACTATGGCGACATCGACTGGGGAATGAAATTACACCAGATTATCTTAATAATCCTGCTACTCTATTTGTAGAAAATCTGAGAGATAATTTCCTGTTCCAACATGTGAAAGATCTGACTCACTATAGAGGGGAACAAACACCCAAATCACTGGACCTCTTGGTGGCCAAGTTGGAACATCTAGCCCCCGTTGGCACCAGCCATAACTTGACGTTGTCCTTCAGATTTAATTGTTAATTGGTTCATGATAAGAACAGACCAAGGTTTAAATATTAGTGATGATCACGACAGGATGAGGTAGGTGATGAGGGGTTATCGCTGGCCTGACTTACTGGTAGACAAGAATTCGAATACTACCCTGAACATTCTAGTCAGTAAAGTGAACTATTTGATTGGTAAATATACTGCATACCCAAGACCAAACTCGCTGCCTCCCAGAGTGCTAAGAGAGTTATGCAACGAGCTTGCCGAGCCCCTTAAAATCCTGTTCTACAGATGCCTGGAGGAGTAAAAGATTCCCAACGACTGGGAAATGGCATACTGTAGTAGGTATGTAGGTATGAGGCAGCTCTCAAACAGGGAGGTACTACCGCCTGGGAAGATATTGGAAGCATAATGTGTTGTCTAATGGTAGACCCTGCTGCCATATGGCCTCACGAAAATTGTGACCAAGTCCCAGGTACTGATCTGACTTTCTGCTTCATTTACACACAGTTGCAGGGTTTCAATTGTTTCCCTTAGTTTGACAACAGAAAATACTTATATCGTTCATCACTATTGCGTTTTCATTTTTGTATTTCGTTATGGTCGTTATTATTATTATTATTATTATTATTATTATTATTATTATTATTATTATATTTTATTATTATTATTATTATTATTATTATTATTATTATTATTATTATTATTGTTTTTGTTATCATTATTGTTAGTAATATTTTATTTTTAATTTTGTATTTTTATTATCAATTGTATTTATCATGAACTAATTATTATTATTATTATTATTATTAATAGTAAATTTTCGCCCCCCAGGCCCCGATGTGGATCAGTGACCTATTTGATTGGTAAGTATACTGCATACCCAAGACCAAACTCGCTGCCACCCAGAGTGCTTTGAGAGTTATGCAACGAGCTTGCCGAGCCCCTGAGAAACAAAACATCCCAGGGAGATCACCACTCTACAACTAATTATAGGCCAGTGAGCCTGACCAGCACAGTGTGTGTGTAGTACATATGAACATAAGAATGGAGGAAACTGCAGCGGGCTTATTGTCCCATACTGAGCAGTCCCCTATTGCTCAGAAATCCACCCAACCTGTGTTTGAAGCTATCCAGCGTATTCGAGCTAATGATGTTGTTTGGTAACTTGTTCCATTCATCCACTACTCTATTTCCAAACCAATGTTTACCTATTTCGCGCCTAAATCTAAAGTTGTCTAATTTAAAACCATTGTTCCGACATCGTCCTGGTTGGATAGTTTGAGTACCTTTGTAATGTCCTATTGTTTAGCCCTGACTTCCATTTATACACCTCTACCATATCGCCTCTCACTCTATAAGATGCCATGAGCCCATAGTGGAATATATATTGCAAAACAACCAAATTTTATGCCGGGATGCTTCTGCTTGACACAATTACTTAAGGTGCTGGGTGTTTGGACTCAGCTCCGGGAGTGTGGTGACAATATCGACAATATATATCTGGACATTGTCAAGGCTTTTGACAGCATAACCCATGAAAAGCTGAAAATGAAACTGGATGCATATGGAATTCAGGAAAGTGTCCTAGCGTGGATCAGAGACCAGGGAAGGGTAGGTTTAAATGTATACTATACAAACAGTAGGAGCGTTAGAAATAAAATAGACTTGCTGAGAGCGGTTGTATGTACCAAGAATGTAGACGTCATAGCAATCACCAAAACTTGGATGAATTTGGCGAGCAAAATTTTTTTATCAGAGTACCACATAGAAGGGTACAACCTTTTTCACAAGGACAGGGAAGGTAGGAAGGGGGGGAGGGGTCGCACTCTTCGTCAAGGATACATTAAAATGTTGTATTAATAATTCAATAAAGGGTGAAGTAGGAACCGAGTCTGTATGGGTAGAAATCACGGAAGGAAGAGAAAAACTAATTATGGGAGTAATTTACAGGCCCCCAAGTCTTGGGAAGGAAGCAACTCAGCCCATATGGCAGGAAATGAGTAGGGCAGCAAAATATAACAACCTGTGCATTATGGGGGATTTCAACTTCAGAAATATTGACTGGGACAACATTGTAGGTGACTATGAATCTGAAGACTTCCTACACGCAGTACAGGACAATTTTTTGAAACAACTAATTACAGAACCTACTAGAGGTGACAGTATATTAGATCTAGTATTAACAAATAAAGAAAATGTTATCAGAGATATCACAGTAGGGGAAGAACTAGGTAACAATGATCACAGAGAAATCAGGTTCACCCTAAATTGGGAAACGAAAAACAATGACAATATGGTCAGAGTCCCAAACTTTCGGTTGGCGGATTATCAGGGGTTAAGAAGGTACCTAGGTGAGGTCACCTGGGAACAGTCACGTCAGTCACCAGTAGGAAGGGGTGAGGTCATAGATGACACAACAATTGATCATGACGCAACAATTGATCATGACTATAATATATTCACTAGTATACTACATAAAGCACAAGAACAAAATATACCATACAGAAAAATTAGGTCAAATAAGAATGAGCCAAGGTGGATGACCAGAAAACTTAAACATGACATAGGAATAAGGAAAGGAATATATAAGAAATTAAAGGGAGGGGAGTAGCAGCTCAGAAATAGGTATAATGAACTAGTTAGGAATGTTAAGAAAAATGTAAGGAAAGCAAAGAGAGACTATGAAATCAAAATAGCAAGAGAATCCAAGGCGAATCCCAAGGGATTTTTCCAGGTATAGAGAACAAAGGTCAAGGACAAAGTTGGGCCTTTAAAGTCAGGGAGGGGAGAAGTGATAAATGGCAGTGAAGAAATAAGCAAAGCATTGAACAACTACTTCTTATCAGTTGTCACAGAGGAAATTTGCGATGAAATTCCAGAGGTGGAACTGATATTTAAGGGAAAGGAAGAAAAGAAATTAAAGAATATCGCTATCAGAAAAGAGGATGTTCTTAAGAAGATAAGTATACTAAAGAAGACAAAATTCCCAGGGCTGGATGAAATTTTTCCTCGAGTCTTGAAAGAGTGTAGGGAACAGATTAGCTGACCCCTCGTAAACTAATTTCCAAAATCATTAAACACCGGAGTTGTGCCAGACTTGTGGAAACAGAGGGAGACAGAGCATCAGCGTCAAATTACCGGCCGATCAGTTTGACGTCAGTAGTGTGAAATTTCTTGAATCAATTATAGCAGATAACATCCGATTGCATTTAGAGAAAAGCAAATTAATCTACGACTCTCAACATGGGTTTACAAAGGGAAAATCTTGTCTAACAAATCTGCTGACATTTTTTAGGAAAGTCTTCGAGGCAGTAGATAATGACGAAAATTACGATGTTATTTACTTAGACTTTAGCAAAGCATTTGACAGAGTACCCCATCAGAGGCTTCTGAGAAAAATTAAGGCTCATGGTATCGAGGGGAAAGTTTTAAGTTGGATAAAATCATGGCTCACCGATAGAACGCAGAGGGTCAGCGTAGATGGTGTTAAATCTGAGTGGGGTCGTGTAACCAGTGGGGTTCCCCAGGGGTCACTACTAAGCCCACTCTTGTTCATAATCTACATAAACGATCTAGATACTGGGATCAGCAGTGATATAAGCAAGTTTGCGGATGACACCAAAATAGGGCGGCAGATTAATTCAGGGCAGGATGCAAATGCATTACAGGATGATCTAAATAAACTGCAGGGGTGAACTGAAAAATGGCAAATGAAATTCAACACCAGCAAGTGCAGCGTCCTTAATATTGGAAGAACAAATACTGTCAATATATACAGCCTTAACAACATCAACCTAGAGAAGTCGACTTGTGAAAGAGACCTAGGGGTACTTGTAAGCCCGGACCTACGGCCTAGAAACCAGTGCGTTAATGTTCAAAATAAGGCAAACAGAGTATTGGGTTTTATATCTAGAAGTGTAAGTAATAAGAGTGCAGAGGTCTTATTGCAACTATACAGTATCTTGCGCTAGTCAGGCCGCACCTCGATTATGCGGTTCAGTTCTGGTGCCCTTATTATAGAATGGATATCAATTCACTAGAGTCGGTGCAGCGAAGAATGACGAAAATGATTCCGGGACTTAGAAACCTTCCATATCAGGATAGGTTAAAGAAATTAAAGTTGCATTCCCTAGAAAGACGAAGAGTGCGGGGAGATATGATAGAAGTATTCAAGTGGGTGAAAGGAATCAATAAAGGTGATATAGATAAAGTTCTTATAATATCCGAGCAGGATAGGACTCGGAACAACGGATTCAAGTTGGATAAGTTTAGGTTTAGGAGGGAGATAGGAAGGAGCTGGTTTACAAATAGGGTGGTGGACGAGTGGAACAAGCTTAGCAACTTTGTAGTAAGTGCTGGAACGCTGGAAAGTTTCAAAGGGAGGCTGGATAGATTCATGGATGATAGAGAGTGGTCGTAACTCTCGACAGGAGCTGCCATGCGCAGGCCAACCGGCCTATTGCAGACTCCTTATTTTCTTATGTTCTTATGTCCCATGACCGCAAGCAGGGTGTGGTGATTAATAGCATGAAATCTTCATGTGTACCCATGACAAGTGGGATACCCCAGGGCAGTGTACTTGGCCCGTTGTTGTTTGTTTGTTTCCAAATGACCTATTGGAAGCTATACATTCCGCCATACAAATGTTCGCGGACGATGCCAAGTTATTCAGAGAAATTAAGAACCAAACGGACTGTGAAGAGCTACAAAGTAATCTCTGTCCGCTTCAGGAGTTGTCAAAGGAATGGATGTTTAAATTTACCGTCACGATATGGAAGAGGATGGCTAGTTTTACCAACAGTAAAGTGGCATATCACATGTCCTATCGGAACTAAGAAACAACATTAACAGTCCTAATGTTGACAACGAACTGAAGTTTTTGGACCATTATGAGAATGTGAATCAAACACCTTATTTTTGAAGAGCGTTGCTAACTCTTCAAAAATGAGGTGCTTCCCTGTCTGGAGTACTGGTCCCCGAGATATGCTAGAGACTGTCAGTTAATTGAAAATGTCCAAAGAGGGCCACCAGAATTAGAACACCTGTAATTACCTAGCTTATGCTATGGGCGGGCAAGGGGTGACTTCATAGAAATCTAAAAACACCTTGGAGATTACTCAGTCGAGTGTCCATAAGAACATAATAATGGAGGAAACTGCAGCGGGCCTACTGGCCAATACTAGGCAGCCCCGTTTACACCCAACCACTAACTTACTTTTATCCTCTTCACCACTGATCGACTTGTTAGCTGCTTGGGCGGTCGGTCACATCTCTGTTACGCACTGACTCCTGAATATAGCTATGCCTGCTCCAGTGTTGGCCAAGCCTGGTCTTGAAACAGCTATCACTCGGTGCCGACACAACACTCTCTGGCAAATTGTTCCAGGAGTTTACATTTCTCACCCTGAAAAAGTTTGCCCCCAGTTTTCTGGACTTGTGGCTTCTTCAACCTTGAAGTGTGGCCCATTCTGAGGGAGGGCGTGTGCCAGCTCCAGATATGGACACTCGACTGAGTAGTGCCCCCTGAGATGCTTATAAACTTCAATTAGGTCGCCCTTCGCCCGTCTGTAGTATGAGACAGGCAGTTGCAGGCGTTCTAAGCTCTCTGGGTAACTGAGATGCTGTAGTGCAGGCACCAGTCTGGTGGCCCTCCTTTGGACATTTTCAATCAACTGAGTCTCTCGCATATCTCGGGGACCTGACGGTGTGACAATACTCCCTTCCTTAGTTTAACCGTCTCCCTAAAATAATAATAATAATAATAATAATAATAATAAAGTGTTCCAAATCTGTTTTATTTTTTAAATTGATTGTTTTTTCTTATCGTAATACCTTTTTTGTCTGGTGCAAAAAAATAACAGGATAGGCTTAAATTCGTCATTATGATTGATTTCCTTACTTGTTCTTAAATTTATAGTAGAGCCTGAACGTATACTTAAACCTGTACATGTACTTTACTTGTACTTAAATATGTACTTGTACTTGAACTCGTATTTGTATTTCAACCTGTACTTGTACTTAAATCTGAACTTGTATTTAAACCCGAACTTGTACTTAGACCTGTTCTTGTACTTAAAGTAAACCTGTACTTGTACTTAAAGTAAACCTGTACTTGTACTTAAACTTGTACTTAAACCTGAACTTGTACTTAGATATATACTTGTGTTTAAACATGTACTTAAACCTGTACTTGTACCATTATCTACACTTAAATATGTACTTGTACTAAACCAGCACCTGTACTTAAACTTGCACTTGAATATTATTTGGGTGGAGAATTGTATGACTAGACGTGAACGAGTAGCCCGGGGCCCTCACCACTGGCATTGCCGACCTTGTCCTGGAACCCTCACCTGATGCACTCTTGACCTTGCCCTGGGGTCCATCCTTCCTACAGGTGTAGGTGACCTCACCGTCAGCCAGTCCGGGGTCAGGGGAGGTGAAGTCGGTCACATCGCACCAACACCCCTCTTGGAATGACGCCCCTCCAGGCGTCTGGATCTGTTGAAGTGTCACAGTTGTACCACACCGCACCTGGCCTGACCTGACCTGACCTACCCTGACCTGATCTACCCTGAGTTTTACCTAATAATAACCTTTGGCACCTTGCTTTTAAGTCTAGGCTAATCTTAACCAAAATACCGCGTTCTATTTTACTTTCCCATACCTAACCTCCCCATGTCTAGACCTAGCGTAAGATTAACTCTGTCCTAATCTCAACCTGACGAAAAAATTAAAGTGGAGGTGGGTCCTGTAGACCTTAGGGCTTGTTAGGGACCAGTGTGGAGACCGCACACAGTATACCAAACCTTCGGGAGGCGGGTGCTGTGTGCACTCGGTCGTCCCATCCCTCATGACCTAAATTGACTCTGCAAGTTTACAAAACTTACCAAATTTTATCTTATTTAACCTAACCAAGCATGACGTAACTTACCATGATCTGAGGTAACTTCTTTTGTAATCTTGATTTTAACTCACCGAACATACAGTATTTCCGAGTGTAGCCTTACATAACCTAACTAATCTAGTCTTAGTTGTTATATATTTGAACGAAGTTAAATTTTATATCGAAGAAAAATTTTCTTTGTTGACTGATGCCTTTTAATCAGGTAAAAAATTATGAATAAAGAATTTTGTATAGAGGGAGAATTTGTGAGAGTCAAAGTGCATGGTCCCATAACTATAGGTTTCTCATGGCGCGACCTACAGGCAGCGAACAGTCCACTCTAACGTTCGAGTCGCGTGGGATTGAACTAGAAAAAAAGAAAAGAAAAAAGTTACTATTAAAATGACTGAATCCTGAAATACGGCATGCGACCAGTAAAACGTATAAAGCATATATAAAGTACCGCAACCCTTACAGTACTTTACATTCTGTAACACAAAATGTAGTGTTTTGATATATCCCCTGGGTATGGGGATGTGTTGGTATGTTTGCTCTGCTCACCAGATGCTTCTTTATGTTACTGTATTGCTTAGCGGGACATCCACCTTGCTACCGTAGATGGCTGGCGTGCCACCTAACCATTTGTTATACATTATTGAGGAGAGCGATGATGGCACGTCGAATTTCCTTTGATGTTTCGATTCTGCAACTGTCTTCCAATTCGTTTGGATGATTGTGGGGGAATGAATTGGCCGCAATAAAAGAGTCGAATCCCATGAGTTTAGATCATCATTCGTGCTTCAAGATTCTTTAACTAAAGGAGTATACACATGGATATCCCATCATATCCGTGATGATAAAGTTTTGATGTAAATTGACACAACCAAAGGGTAGAGGAGAAATACCACATAACCTGTGATTATTTCAGTCAACCATTTTACTTTGTGTTGTTTTCCTCCCTTAAATACATAATATCTAGGAAATGACAACTGTTCTGTTCAGGTTTCAAACAGTCCTTTCCTACTGGATGCCCCATATCATTCATCATTTAAGTACTAGAGCTCTTGACCGTTGATTTTAATGTAAATATTAGCCTTGACTTATTTTAGTTGTCTAACTCACATAACATTGCACGATAAATGATATTAGAGTTATATAGTCAGAGGTACCAACCCAGTAGATACATGTGTGTCTGTATTTTCTCATTTCAATTTTAGTCTGATATTAGGGTCGCGATACTTTTTATTTTTTAGTGGGTGTACGTAGGAGTTACCCAATTCAATATCGACTTTATCCTTTCCGGTCAGTTACTTTATAAGCTGTCACTTCTTTATTTTCATTTGAAGTGTCCAGACGTACACTTTGGACTTTTCCGATTGGTACAGTCAGCGTTATCAATCCACCTTCTCTGTGACGTGTGAACCCCAAGATTATCAACTCGTGAATCTGAAGCATTCACCTCATCTAAGGTTAATAGGGGATGGCCTGGAGTCTAAATATTGTGTCTTTTTACGACTTTCATGACCCAATAAACGGATGCATTTGATTATATTGAACATTTGCATCAAAATATTAATCTTGTATAATTAAAGCAAATGCGTGTTTCTTGTCTCTACATAAGAACATAAGAAAATAAGGAGTCTGCAATAGGCCGGTTGGCCTGTGCATGGCAGCTCCTGTCGAGAGTTACTACCACTCTCTATCATCCATGAATCTATCTAGCCTCCTTTTGAAACTTTCCAGAGTTCCAGCACTTACTACAAAGTTGCTAAGCTTGTTCCACTCGTCCACCACCCTATTTGTGAACCAGTCACCGGTTCCTTCCTGTGCTCGTGTGCTGTGACTCTTGGAGTGTTGTGGTGGTGGAATGTGAACCTCACCGGTTGAATAGCCTGGTAGTCTACACTCTACACAGACAACCAGGTCATTCAGCCGTGAACCCATAAACATATTAACAACTGTATACCTGTAACTAGAACTACGTACTTTTAAAAAAAAAATTGACAGTAGTTTTAAGTGTATCTTTATTCCTTTCTTGATTGCTACTCATTGCTACTAAGTGTGTTACAACTGTAAGTAGTGGGGGGCCCCCCTGCTGACAACTGAGAATAAATATAGGTAATATCCAAGGTTAATAGAAACAATAAAATCTAGTAATAATGACACATTTACAAATTATTTATTCCATTCAAAGAAAGCGTATACATTCATTTACAAATGCACTTTTCGTGATTTTTTCTAGCAAAATGTCTGACTCGGTGCTTAATAGCATCAGATTGTTGAGTGTCTCCTGGCGCATCGTGGTCCGCAGCCTGTTTTTGATCAGTTTCATTTTTGAGAAGGAACGCTCCCCGGTAGAATTGGAGACCATTAGCACCAGATTTATCCTCAAAACCGTTTCTGCATTTGGAAATGCTGATTGTAAGCCATCGTTTTCCGCGGCTTTTGCATACAACTTTACCAGAGACGGGAATTGAATCATTTCATTGGAGATGTTTTTATCAATATCTTTTCCATAAGTTTGCAGAAGATTTTCTGAAGCAGAATGAATGGCATCGGCTGACATGGTTTCCAGATTGCTTAAAAAGCCGAAGCGATCCTTCACCAACGTGTATGCAATAATCCTATCGTTTAGGGATACCACTAGGTGATCAATGACTGTGAGGAAGCACTTTGTTCGGAAATTCTCTCTTGGACTGAGATCCACTTTACTTGAACGTCCATAATCCAGTGGAGCGAGCCGTACGTTTGATCGCCTCTGACGTCCTGAATGGACAAACTCAGTGCTTCCTGCCAGATCTTTTGCTTTTTTTTTCCTCATAGGCATCAAAACTGTCTCTCTTTCTAAGGAAACTAGCGAATTTATTGCTGATTGAAGTATTAGTTTTGGATCTTGAAGAAGTTTGTGTGGTGTAGTGTTCACTTATTTATACAGCCTTTTTATTATTTTATTACAATCTCTGTGTTAAATAAGTTAAATCAGTTCACCAAACATGAGTTTTAGTAGGAAACATTTGTGGCGGCCTGGTGGAGTTACGATAAGTGGTGCATAGCGAGTGTAAGGCAATCTGTTCCACCTGTTTATCGCTCTGTGGTAAAGGTTTTTAAAACTGTTTTTTACAATGCTTTGGGTGGGCCGTAGGTGTGGGGGGGCTCCTAGATGTGGGGAGCCCTGGGCGTGCGCCCGGTACGCCTTCCCCATAATTCGGGCCTGACTGTAACTATGCAAGCGGTGGTGCATTGGAAGCACTAATGTTATCAGTATACTATATGATTCTCTATTAAAACATGGATCACACACAGACAACATGGAGCATAATCATACAGACATACAAGCATATTTGATTAAATGTCTTATGGGTTCGCGGCTGAATAGCCTGGCTGCGTTGACCATTCAACCTAAGGTCATGAAATTTTACCGGATAAGACAAAACTGTCGCCCCAGTGACCTCACCTGGGTTGTTTGATGGCAAACTCTCCCATGATTTTGCTGATATCTAATTTCTATGTGCTACCCGAACGTCCACCCTCTTATAATCCGGTGTCATTGGTGGTAACCCTTGTCCAGTTAGGTCATAACTCCTGCCACCTTATGTCTACCTGAGGTGATTAGTCTGAGGCCACAGTTTAGCTTCCCTTGAGTGTGGGTAACATTTAGATAATGAGGGACAAGTACAGTTAGTGGTGACATATTTGATCAGTGATTCCCTGTGGCTGCGTAACACTACATAATACACTTTATATAACGCAATAGAACAAATTGATTTAATACACCGTTTAACATATTATTAAATATGTTAAACTAGGTTAGCTAAATTAAACTATGTGTGTTAAATAGATTGTAACATAATATAAAACTTTGTAAAACAACTTACCACACTGGTGTACCACTCCCATGAAGGAGAAAAACGGGTGAAACCTGCATTAAAAACTGACAATGTAACTTACTTTGCCAACCTCGTACCAGTGGCCCTCGTACATCTGGTTCTGGAAATATGGCGCTGGTGTCACTGCCACACATGCGGGCAATTCATCACCCTGCACACACGCCCACCATACCATCACCTAGAACCCAGCACCAGAGAAGTGAGGGGAGAAGAGTTAGAAAGGAGAGTAGATAGATTTTTTTTTTCGGGGATTAGCCCACCCGGGCACAGGTCACTGACCCACATCGGGGCCTGGGGGCGAAAATGTAATAATAATAATAATAATAATAATAATAATAATAATAATAATAATAATAATAATAATAATAATAATAATAATAATAATAATAATAATAATAATGACGACGACGACGACGACGACGACGACGACGACGACGACGACGACAACGACAACGACAACAACAACGACAACGACAACAACAACAACAACAACAATAATAATAATACACCTTTTCACATATCCGTTGAGACATTGAATCATAACTATTTGCCAAATTTCATAACCGAATGACAGACAGAACACATATCGAATGACAATCTAAAATAACTGTTCCTTCATGCTAACGGAAATGATTGTATAAGTTATGAAGTTGACAGACGTGAACAATAAACCGACAGTCTACATATAGTTTGAGAATGTAACAATGGGAGAATGACATACCACCAACAGTTATTTTAGATTGTCATTCGATATGTGTTCTGTCATTCGGTTATGAAATTTGTCAAATAGTTATGTAACAATGTCTCAACGGATATGTGAAAAGGTTTAATAATAATAATAATAATAATAATAATAATAATAATAATAATAATAATAATAATAATAATAATAATAATAATCAATAGTGAGAAACAATATATGTATGTTGTGTTGTCAATGGTAAGAGAAACAATTGAGACCTTGCAATTGTGTATAAATGAGGCAGAAAGTCAGATCAGCAACCTGGGACTTGGTCACAATTTTCGTGATGCCATATGGCAGCAGGGTCTACCATTAGACAACACATTATGCTTCCAATATCTTCCCAGGCGGTAGTACCTCCCTGTTTGATAGCTGCCTACTTAGAAGGAAGAGCAGTAACAGAAGAATGGAGTTTAAACCTGGTTTTTCAGATATCTCTCTCTCTCTCTCTCTCTCTCTCTCTCTCTCTCTCTCTCTCTCTCTCTCTCTCTCCTTGGCTTTACTGCTTTCGGTGGCTGTTGCTGTTAGTTGGTGTTGTTTGTGATAGTTATTGTTTTGCCTTAATTTTGTTTTGGAAAGTAACTTCATTCATTGTCTACAGACTTGTTCCGTATGGTCCTCCTCTCACCATTAAGAGGAGGATCTTACTGACTATTATTCATTTTTTTTTTTTTTAATATTCAACATTTAAAAGTTTACTCGTCGTTTTGGGTGGCGTATCTGTTTGTTACTTTGTTTTGGTCTTCAATTATCCAGTGTTAATTCAGGAGGAAACCAGAGTGCCCGGAGAAAACCTGTGGTGTTTCGTTGGGTACAAGGTCAATATAGAGGGGTTGGGTCACCCTCCTCACATGCCACTCGCAATGGTGGAAGCAAACACCCCACCGCTGTACAGTGCAATTATTATTGAAGTGCAGGTGTGTTGCAGGTGTATGCGTGTGTCTGACATGGACCTGGGTCAAATATATGGATGGTACAAAAGTCGTGATATATAGACATCCCGAGGAGGGTTGGGGGAAGGTGTTGGGCGATCGGTCACGTCTCTGTTACGCACTGTTGGCAAGTACTGGGCATAATAATAATTGACGATTTATTGAGAGAAAATAGCAACCAAAGCTGAAAATAGACGACGAACAGAAATCACTTAAATGGTGACGCTGGGGAAGGAGTCATTTACCAAAAACTTTCAATGCGAAAAAAGGAGGAAACAGGTGTAAAATAGACAAGTATCTGAAAATATTTAGTGGTTTGGAAGACTGATCGTCTAGCCCTGAAGCAGCTGTGATATCGAACAGCTACATGTGGTAGGTGCATGTGTGCATAATCATCACATCTAATATGCAAATCATTGCCATATGAAATAGCTTTTATTTTATGTTTTTACGGAGTTGTGGTCACGACTGTGATAAAGGCCAACCAGGGAGTGTAGTACTGTGCCTTTAGTTACATCAGTTCATAGTGTCATCAGCAACCGCGGAAGATGTTGTAAATAACTTTAAGTGAATACAGATTGGGAAGCAAGCAGGAAAGGCACCACTGCTAGCTGAAACCAAGTCGTGTTATAGGTGCCACAGAGACTTTAAATTTTATTTTATTTATGTGCTTTCTCATGGACTGAAACTGTGCCTACAATACACCATTCATAGGGAGATACAGTGTACACAGTGATGACACAAAGAGATATAGTCGTCGATGAGAACAGGAAAAGAAAGTGTAGGTTATGTATCTAAGCTACTGTGCCGAGTAGCAACCTTGTATATAAGCTACTGTGCCGAGTAGCACCTATGTATATAATTACGTGGCAACACTGCACGTGTTATGTGGCAACATTGCCCCGAGGCTGCCATATGGCAAGGCAGTCTCAGTCTGACTTCGTGGGCCGTGCATGGCACACGCTAGCCACCACTTGTATTTCTCCTATCCGAATAAATGGACTTCAGTGTTACCCGGTGTTTCCCTACCCATCACTGCATTCTTCAGGGAACACTTGGAACCTTCAGAAAGTATAAGGAAATACTAGTTAAAATAAAATAAAAATAAAAAAATCAACAAGCTTGGCTATCATTAGAGGCATTTTATTATCGCCCCAAAGCAAGATTTTCTTTTATTTTTCTGTGCTTCTAAAGGACTGAGTAGGTGTATAAAATCCGTTATTCATAGCAAAATGAAGTGTACATAGAGACAGCACATAAATACTAACAAACCGCCGAAGTGAACTGAAAAAAAAATAAAAACAAGGGAAGAAAAACAGAAGACAACCCTAAAGGCAACAGGGGAGGTTAAAACCAGCAGAGGGCAGCTAAGTACTGTATATTTGTCCTTATTTTCTTTAAATAGGTGTAGATCAATACACAGTCTGCATCCCCACAACAACAACAACCATGAGGGATATGATGATATGTGACTACTGCGGGGGGGATGACGGATATGAATGATAGAGGCCTGACCAATGCAACGATTAGGAAGATGCTAACTGCCGTAAAGCATGAAGGCTGTTGCTGGTATTGCCCTGACTGCATAGTCAAGGTGAAAGAGGCGATTGCAAGCCATAAGGGAACGAGTTCCCTTATGTTGGGAAAGAGATCCTTGCTAAGACTGAGGAAGTAGCAGATTGAATGGAGGTGGTTGCTAAGAGGAGTTATGCTGAGGCATTAGCAGGGCCACGGGAGGTGGCGGAGAATAATGCAGGATCAGAACAGGTTCTACAGCAGCTAGGGACTCTGAAGAAGTGTGTCGAAGAAATGAAAATTAACGGACCTACTGTAAGGGGAGAGGAGGAACAACGGGAACGTTTCCAGTGCAGGAACAAAGTAATAGTTTTTGGAGTCCCCGAGAGCCAGGCGGAGGGAACAGATAGTAAGATAACACACGATAAGATGCAGTTTAAGAGTATTTGTACAGAAGTTCTGAAAATGCCATCAACCCCACAGGATGTGAGGAGGCTGGGACAAAAGCAGCGGGATAAGTCTCGCCCCCTCAGGATCACACGAGTGAGCGAGGAGGAGAAATGGGAGGTTATTCGACAGGCAAAAAACTTAGCAAAGAGCGAGGCATCTCGGAGTGTATTCATTCACCGAGATCGCACGGTAATGCAGAGAGAACAGCACAAGAAGCTCCTGCAGGACTTGAAGCAGAAGAGGGAGGAGTCAAGGAGGAACGGGGACAGGTGTAAATGTGTTATATTCAGGGGGAGGGTAGTCGAAGCAAGTGTGCCAGGGGGCAGCAGCGCACCCTTCACCCGCTCTACCCCTACCCGGGAGCCCGGGAGGTGGCACCAGCACCGCCTACCAGACAGGAAGAGGCGAGCTCCGTGTAAACAATGATATTTCTAATCACACCCTGCAAAATACAGTGTACTTAGCAAATGCTGCAGCTTCTGAGAATGGGGGGGTTACTACTAAGAGCAGAGACGTTACCGAGAACAAATTGTGGCTTGAATATCATGTACACTAATAGTGACACGTTCCTTGATAAGAGAGAGGAGTTTGAAACACTACTGAAGGTACACCAACCAAATATTGTAGGAGTTGTAGAACTGTTGTACAATAACAGGAGAATCGACCCAGAGGAATGTGAGTTCATTATTGCTGGGCATGACTCATTTACGAACGTTTCTTTAGAAACTTGCAAGACGGGTGTGGTTATTTATGCTAGGCAAGACCTTAGAGCCAGCCAGGCGAGGGTACAGGAAGAGGATGTTTTTGAAGAGTCCAAGTGGTGTAAAATCAAATTGAAGGGAGGGGACTTACTTATCGTCGGGTGTATCTACAGATCCCGAAACTGTGGCCCACTAAATCAAAGGAACCTTAAGAGCCTTAATAGACAATGCGGCGATGCTCAACCCTTATCATGGGAGACTTTAACTATGGCGACATCAACTGGAGAAACGAGTTTACCCCAAATGAATTGAATAACCTTGCTACTCTTTTTGTAGAAACTCTGAGAGATAATTTTCTGTTCCAACATGTTAGAGACCCCGACACATTACAGAGGGGAGCAAACACCCAAGCCACTAGACCTCATCATAACAAACGAGGAGGGTATGGTGGCCAAACTGGAACACCTTGCCCCAGTTGGCACCAGTCATCATATAGTGTTCTCATTCAGATTTAACTGTTACCTAGTTCAAGATAAAGCCAGACCAAGGTGCAAATATTACAAAGGAAATTACAACGGGATGAGGGAAGAGATGAGGTGTATCAACTGGCCTGACTCATTAAGGCACAAGAATGCAGACACTACGCTGAATATCATGACTAGTAAAGTGACCCATTTGATCAATAAATATATACCCAAGACCAAACCCAGTGCCTCTAGGAATACGAGGGGATCCCTATACATGAACCATGAGGCGGTCGACAAAGTTAAGAAGAAAACCCAGAAATTCATGACGTGGGTTGGGTCAAACGATGAGCATGATAGGAGGATGCATGCAA